GTCACATTAAAATTAACAAATTTAGTTAATCCCTTGCTATCAAATAATCTAGTATTTTTAATAGCCCTTTTTATTAAGAAATTCCTCCTTGAATATCTATACACCAAATACCTCTTATTCTATCTCAGGAATGATAAAGTATCTGATAAGCCAAAGTGGATAAACAAATGACCTCAACCTTAACACCATCAAAGGACCAATTCTCAATTAACTGCAAATTTCCAACTTAATCATTTTCATTCCCTAATGAATGCCATCTTTGAGTTCTTCATATTTCTCATGTGATGACACTACAAATATATGTTCTACAAAAAGCTTAATCAGTGAAAAATACAATATTAATCTATGGCTACTTAAGCAGGAGCAACTCTGTTCTAAATTAAGCAAGCTCATCCTACACTTTTTTCCCTTTTTAGCTGGCCTAGGCAAGAACAGGTTTCAGGCAAGGCTGGAGGCTGAGCATAGTAAAAGGATGATGCGTCTAAGAAAGTAACTGAGAAATCAAATCCCAGATCACTAAATTCAGAAGTCAGCACTACTGTTCTGGAGTGTTCCTAATATATGTGTCTAGTTACAGGCACGGTAGAAAGGGATAGAACGTTAAGAGAATAATCTGCTATCTTTCTGTTAATCATATCTTCATCTCTTTGTGACAACTTTGTAGATTACTCTCATTAATCTGTATCACTACCCACAAGCGGATGAGAAAAAAATTTTTAAAAAATGAAATGTTTCCTTACTTCCTAGAAAATTTAGAAGAATCACATTTTAAGTGAATAATTATGAGATTATATGGTTTGGGCATCTCTTATTTTTCTAGCCACAAGAGGTTATTTTTGGTTATCTAGGCAAGAACATAGACTGGCCTGAGCTCACATCTCAGTGCTGCTATTAACAGGCTATATCATCTTAACAAATAATGCAATTCATTAAATATCCATTTCATTTTATCTACCAATTAAATGGAGATTATAATACTTCTTTCACAAAGCTGATATAGTAAAAAAAAAAATTTAGTTACAATAGGAAAGTTTCCATATTTCACTCACTAATCACATTTTCATATTCTACCAGTTTCTCATACCTTAACTATCCCTTTATCTGCTCTCTAACTCACTGAAAAGATTTGAGATTCTGATTTAATCAGTTTAGAATCCTCTTCTAGCTCCTTGTTTCTCCATTTCTTTCTACTCTCCTCTCTCTCCAGAATGTACCCCACTGATACCTAAACTACTCAATAGTATCCTTAAATCCTCCAGTCTCATCCTTCCAAGAAAAGCATTCCTTAAAACCTAAATCTGGATATCAAGACCAAGATGTAGTGCACTCCACAGTTGAGTGCTATTTAGAAGGCCAAGAAACTAAGATTGTTACCAATATAATTTCTCAATGTCAAATTTTAGCTGGGCCTTCAACAATCCTTTTTTTCCTCTCTTAGACAGCTCCTTCTTTTATGGGCCAAGGGTATTCCCAAACTACTGCAAAACTTGATGAAACAGCAAAGATTATTAATCTCATTAAATTTCCACCCTGGAATACATCTTTTTTAATATATTTGTAACAAAATAAAAAATATGTATGAAGTACTTCCCTGAATATCAAAAAACAATAATTATCCCCAGAGAAAGCACTTTGTGTAGCTCAGTGGTAGAGCATTTGCATAGTATGTGTGAAGACTTGAGTTTAATTCCCAGCACTGCCAAAACAAGTTGTTAAACCATTAGAGAAGTCACAAAATAAAGAGTAAGGAGGGGGGGAGCACTTTGTGACTAAATTGCAAAATAATTAAGGTACAACTCTTTTTTCAAGGAACACCATTTTTACTTGAAAGAATAACTGACAGAACACCTTAGGATTACTAGGACTTGAGTATGTGACAGATATTTTCTCAAAAATGTACCAAGTAAGTCTGTCCTTTCAAGAAAAACAACAAAGAGTACTTGTTGTCTGACAAAATTTGAGCTTTCAGGGGCTGGGATTGTGGTTCACCAGTACAGCACTGTCCTTAGCATGTATGAGGCACTGGGTTTGATCGTGAGCATCAAATAAAAAAATAAATAAATGAAATAGAGGTATTGTGTCCATCTACAACTTTTAAAAAAATTATAGATATGATATATACATGAAATTTGAGCTTTTAAGTGGTGACTCAAATTTTGAAAAAATCTGATCTTAACAGCTTCCCAAAACTAGTAATTCAATACTTTAAATGGTGAAATAGCTCACGGACATAAGAAAAGTTAAATAATGACAATATCATTTGAACAGCAACTTAAAAACTTAAAACTGTACTGTGTTTGGAAGTGCACAAGGCAACCCTTGATAAACTGTACAAAGAACCATGGAGTCAAGAAAGACCTATATACAAATTATGAGAAAAAAGAGAAGTCTACTTGGGTGGTAGCTGTCAAGGAAGGTTCTATATAAACAAAATCTTGAGTTGGAACTTGAAAAATTGGTAGGATATAGATTGATTTTTTTTAAAAAAGTGAGCAAGGCATCCTAGGAAGTTTACAACATATACAGCTCATGTATATTTGTTTAAAGAAAAATACCATCTTCAGTTATAATTTTACTATTTCATAGGTATGAATTCAAACTCTCAAGTGATATTTTAAGACCCTTGAATCAGGAGCCACATATTTCAATTCTCTGTTATCAGCCAGACTAGCACAGGTCAAATTTAATATGATGAAATATTTGTATGAAAAATTAAGATTTACAAAGGAAGGGGCAGAATAGCAGTCTATATTAATTCCCAGCTCTGGAACTCGACCTTGGATAATTTAGTAAACCCTACTGCTTTAACGTCAGATACAACTCATTTGAGGATCACCCTACAGATATCTTAGCTGAAAGTACTACACAAATAAATAATAATTAGAGAAGAAAGGAGAATTTGTGTCCCTATTTCTATGCTGACCTTGCTATGTATTATGTTACTTCCAAATAAAGAATTTATTTTTTGTTTTAGCAAAAGGAGTTGATATATACAGGGAATATGTATACAACAGTATTACTCAAAGAATTATTTCTGTAAAATGTCTCAGTATAATATATTTATCTTATTAAAATTTAATGAATAACATTATAATGTCAGGCATAATTCAAATTTATTCCTCTTCAGATATTCTAAAATATTGCATTCTTTTTCATTCCTTCTATTGATTTCACACATTTCTCCAGTCACCATATCATCTTCTACAAACACATACACAAAAACATACATACATTCCTCCCATTTCATTCCTATATCCTTCTTGTAGTAACTACAGCCACTAGAGGGCAATAAATTTGCAAAGATAAATGTACTTATCTACAAGAATTGAAATTCACATAATAATAAATCTAGGGGGAAATGTCATTAGGAACCATTTTAAAGCACAGGAAATCAGATTTGAATAAGCAAGGCATATCCTCCAAAAAGAATCCATAGGAGAATATAAAAGTGCTCAAAAAAGAAATTCTATTTTCTCAACAAGGACTAGCTAAAGAAACAGAGAACTGAGGGTTGGCTGTAGGACATTATGTTAAGGAGGAAAGATGTGAGGGTATGGGGTTAATATACCTTAGCTACTTTGGAGGAGAACTCTAATAAAGGGGGTTATTAGCAGGAAAATAGACAGGAGGTATTTTAGGGTAGTTAAGTACATGGGAGGACAATAAGAAGCATAGAAACAAATACCTATTTGCATTTTAGTAAATTATACGTAGTAGAAATAGTAACATTTGGGAGGTTGAGAGAGGAAGAGAAGGAGGAAAAAAAACAAATACCAAATGTTTTCTCTGATATAAGGAGGGTGACTCAAAATAGGGTAGGGAGGGAGAACATGGGAGGAAGATTACCTCTAGACAGGGAATAGGGGTATAAAGGAAAGGAAGGGAGAAGGGGAATAGCATGAATGGTGGAAGGAGACCCTCATCATTATACAAAATACATGTATGAAGATGTGAATTTGGTGTCAACATACCTTATATACAGAGATATGATAAATTGTAGTATAAAGGTGTATTAAGAATTGTAATGCAAAAAAAAAATAAGAGAGCTCATGTATAATGGCATAATTTGGCGTGAACAAACTTTATATACAGAGTTACGAAAAATTGTGCTGTGAATGGATAATTATGATTGTAATGCATTCCACTATTGTCATGTATGTAAGAAATAAAATAAAATAAATTTAAAAAAAGAGTAGAAATAAATTGAAGGAGCTAAGGAAGTTCAGAGATTCTCTGTGGTTAAGGCTTTGTACCAGGCATGTTTATATGAAATATGCTACATTGTCATTAAACTTGTTGATTTCTCATCAATTTTCTTTTTTTATTAATTTATGGTCTCAAATTTTCTTACCACCTAAGTATAATGAAACTCTCACTAAGTGAAAATTATGTCTTATGAAAATTTTAGTGATTATACCTTTTAAATACATACATATATAAAATTTCAGAGTATTTTACAGATGTGTACGGGTATAATGTTTTGTGTAGGTGATACATTCTAGTTTTTATCCAGGTTTACCTTAATAAAAAGTTTTAGTCATATTTTATATGACTATATATATTTTTCACAGTAAAAAAATAATAAAATTTTTTAAAAAATACAAATTTTTTAAAACTTAAAAAAAGAGTGTAGGGGAGTCAGACATGGTGGCTCAAGCCTATAATCTCAGCAACCAGCAAGGCTGAGGCAGGAGGATCACAAGTTCAAAGCCAGCCTCAGCAATTTAGCGAGGCCCTAAGCAACTTAGTGAGACTCTGCCTCAAAATAAAAAATAGAACTATGGCTGGGGATGTGGCTCAGTGGTTCAATCCCTGCCACCGGGGAAAAAAGAATACAAGGAGAAGAGAATTAACAGTCACTAATCTTTGACAGATAATTTTACTACTTTTTGCACAGAATCTAAATTCAAATGAACTTATTTATTTAATATTTACTATTCTGTGTATGCATTGCAAAACTGAAACACTTACAAGGTTGACAACAAACTATAATTTCTTACCCTCATTGGATGTATATCAGCATAAGGTGGTTTCCCTTCAGCCATTTCTATAGAAGTGATGCCAAGTGACCAGATATCAGCCACACAGTTATATCCTATTTCTTGAATTACCTCAGGAGCCATCCAAAATGGAGTTCCTATCACAGTATTGCGTTTTGCCATTGTATCCTGCAAAAACATTACATAAATATGAATACTACTATAAAACACAAAGGAAATCTGTTTGCAACATTTTTTAATATCTTTTTTTTTAATATGGTGCTGAGGATCGAATCCAGTGCCTCCACGCATGCTAGGTGAGCGCTCTACCACTGAGCCACGACCCCAGCCCACACAACATGTTCTTTAAAATATTTATGCTAAAACATCAAATTCTATTCTCAAATTCTACAGGGAGTGGACTGTTTTCCTAAATCCTCAACTAGTTGTAGTATGATATATTAGGAATTTTAGAAATAACCAAGAGTCTACAAGTAACTATCTCCACTTCATTAAAGGCAGTCAATGAAAATAGTACTATGACAGTAAAAACTATAAAAACCAATGTACCAAGGGAAATGATATAGCTTCCCTGTTACAACACTTAAACATTCTGATGACTACAAGATGTATTTTTATATTCACTGTCCCTTAAATTATAAACTTACAATTTGGCTCAGTTATGGATCCTCCACAAGAACAATGAAGTTACATGTTTCTTTCCAGACCCCCCAAAAAGTTATCAAAGTTTAGTTACAATCAAGCCTCACCAAATGAGCAAAAGTGTTTCCAAAATTATTAAAGTTAACTTACTGTTAACTGACCAGCCACTCCAAAATCTGCCAATTTTGCATGTCCTTCTGTATTAAGGAGAATATTTCCAGCCTTTATATCTCTGTGTATTTTTCTCATAAAATGCAAATATTCTAATCCTTTCAGTGTAGACTTTAGAATGGTTGCAATTTCATCTTCTGTTAACTGGAAAGAAATATTTTTTGAACTATATTAAAATGCCATTTTAGATAAATTCTTACCAGAGAGCACACGTATAAGTACTTCTTCCTAATGGCCATTAAACCTCTACTAAAAGGCTAAAGAGAAAATAATCAAGAACCCATTCCCATACACACACAAACATCTGTCATTATTTTCATAACACTTTTCTGAGGAAAGGATAATCAAATTTTTCTATAAAATTCCCAATGTTGAAAAAAAAAGAAAAAACAAAAACGAAGAAATAAAATTACCAGTGTCATTCATAAAGCAAAAAACATGTCCCAAAAATCAGCATGACCATACAAAATCACTATTTCACATGTTGTCTAATACCTGGGTGGCAGGTACTACTATAGCTACCTGTTCTCAAAAAGCAAATTCAGACACTCTTCCCTGTGATGCCTGCAATTCTTGAAGAAAATGAAGACCAACAGCTTTACACCAAGGAAAGGAAATAAAGGAACACAGTGAGACTTGCTGCAAGTCTTCTGCATGAAGCACTTAACCAATGTCACCCTTCCTGCTTCCAGCCAGGTCACCCCTAATCCACCCAAGCCTGATTTCTGACCTAACACTGAAAGCTCAAAAGTGAAACTGTCTGAGAAAGATTAGGAAACTGGAAATAAATGTGAAGGCTTCAAGAGAAAAGAAACATGAGAAAAGGTCAAGCAAGAAGAGAAGGGAAAAGAAACATTCTGGACTGTTATAGTAGCGGAGCCACTACTCTTTGAACCAAGAATTGCTAAGAGTTCTGCATGCACTGTCTCATTTATCCTTACCACAATCCTCTAAAGTAGTAAGATATTACAAAATGATAATAAATATCTGGTCTTCTTTCCAGGTTCCTAATCTTTCTCAGACAGTTAATGTTCTTTCAGAATAAAAACACAAAACTGGAAATAGAAGAAAACTGCATTATCTCAACATAATAAAAGTCATATACAAAATCCCTACAGTGAACAAAAGACTCAATGGTGAAAGACTGAAAGCTTTTCTTCAAGAATAGAACCAAGGCAAGGATGCCTGCTTTCACGATATCTATTCAACACAGTACTAGATAAAGTTCTAGCCAGAGTGATTTGGCAAGAAAAAGAGACAAACAAGCACCAAGTCATCTAAGGTTTTTACCAGCCAATGGTTAAGGAGTGTGGATTTTTTGAAAATTCTGGTACTTCCAAGAACTTTTTTTTTAATATTTTTTTAGTTATAGTTGGGCACAATACCTTTATTTTATTTGTTTATTTTTATGTGGTGCTGAGGATTGAACCCAGCACCTCGCATGTGCTAGGCGAGCACTCTACCACTGAGCCACAACCCCAGCCCTTCCAGGAACTTTTTTTTAACCCTAACACTAACTCTGTCTCAAATAAGATGCTGTGACTTGTCGATCCACAGAAAGCAAGCACTATGCTCTAAAGCCTGACTATGAATACAGTAGCCACTAACTATATATGCTTTCTAAAAATTGAAATACGACATAAAGGTAAAATATACACAAAAGATCAAATCTTTTTTTTTTTTTTGAGAGAGAGAGAGTCTTTTTTTAATATTTATTTTTTTTAGTTCTCGGCGGACACAACATCTTTGTTTGTATGTGGTGCTGAGGATCGAACCCGGGCCGCACGCATGCCAGGCGAGCGCGCCACCGCTTGAGCCACATCCCCAGCCCAAGATCAAATCTTAATACAAAAAAGAGAATGTAAGATATCTTACTAATAATTTGTGATTCCCTTTTAAGTGTGTTATATATTAGTGTTCTAATGTAGTCATTAATGTTGACTTTATATTATGAAATACTAGTGTTTAATACATTTAAATTATACTATTTCATATTACATCATATTGATATCATACATAATACATACCACACATTAGTAAAATTAATTTTACAAGTGTCTTTTTTCCTTTTAAATGTGACTACTAGAAATTTTAAATTACATGTGACTTATGTTTCTATTGGATAGCACTCTACTAAAGGACCCACAAGAGCAAGGATCTTTGTTTTGTTCACAGATGAATATGACCATGCCTGGCATAGAGTCAGTATTCAATAAATAGTGAAAGAGTGGATACAGACTTATTGATGCAAAAAGCAGGTATCCTCCTAATGTAGGACAGGAGAAGTTTGAAGAAAAAAAAAGGTAAAAAGAAGACATGAAGGACAAGGAAATATAATTTTAATCTGGAATTCTAATACATTGTCAGGTCAGTCACTCTCCCAAGCCAGTCACTCCCAATTTTCCAGGAAATCGGTAAATCTACCTTGTGCACTGTTTGTGAGTCCATCAATAAACCAATAAAGCAAAGAGAGATATGATCTTTTTAGAAACTATAACTTAAGGGACTTTCCAGCACTATCTCTTGATCACTATCCACATATGCCTAAAGATCCAGAGAATGACCAGAGCACAATAAACCATTCTGTAATCACCAGACTGATGTCATCCCTACAAAGCAACCCATACTCACCCTTCACCAAGTTTCAAGAGGAGCCAGGAACCCCCAAACAGTCTCCACTCTGGAGATGACTGGTATTCTTCCTTGAATGTATATTCATTGCTCTCCTAAATAAATTTCTGTGCCTCTACTGATTTATGCTGAAATTCTTTTCTATCATATATATCAAGTTCCCCATTTTTCTGAGAACCTTAGGACGCTCTTCCTGGAATAGCTCTTCTCAGATTTTAATCTGATGTTCCTAGTCGTTTTTTGTTTTGTTTTGTTTGTTTGGTGCATTATAGTTGCACATAATGATGGGATTTGTTATTACATATTCTTATGTGTGATGTTCTCAATCTTGCTAAATTAGTCATTAGCAACCAAGGTCTGTGATTTGTAGGCAGGAATTTATTTAGGTCCCACACTGTACCACTGCAGAAGGTGTGCAAGATAGTGGTGCTACAGTATAGTTTGTGTCTGGGTTTCCTCCTCTCTCCCCACCCTCAACTGCCTGCCTGAAGATTAGAGTGTAGGATGTTGCAAAAGCAGTATCAGTCCATAAAACTGTGCCTTGTTTAATTACTTCAGTGATGATCTTTTTTGGTTGCCTAGACTTCAATTTTTATCTTCCTAACAGTACAGAATTTCCAATTAATAAATGTTACTAATCCTCCATTAACTCTCTGATTTGTCATCTCTGCCCCTATAATTCTTATTTTGGAGCTGCACTAGAGAAAGTTCAGTATAAAATAGATCTAGTGTACAACAGAATCTCAAGATCTGTCCGATTTCAATGCTATAAAGTGCCTGGTTAAAAAAAAAAAAAATCACATACTAAAAAAAGATTTGCCAGAGATCTTATAGTGATTCATGAACTGTCTGACTTTGCTAAATGATTTAAAAGGTTCATTCTAATTCTATAAGATATCAACAAAACATTTTCATGTGAAAATAGTCTATTCTTAATAACCAAATAAATTCAGACTCTTTTGGACATCAATCTTTTTGTTCATTCAACAAATATCTATTTGCCTGGGCTCTACTGTACAAATTGAAAATGCTGGGTATACAGTGATGAAGGGAACTGACAGTTCTAGTCCTCATGAAGCTTATAAGAACACCAGAGGGCCTGGCCTAAATAGAGCTACAAACTGTTAAAGGTGGAAGAAGGCAGGCCTGAAGCAAATTTCACTATGCTTTTCTCCTATTAGTAATAAATCCTTTCTCCTGCTTCAGGGAGTCACTGTCCTCTTACTCACTTCACATGCTCCTCCAATCAAAAATGACAGAATAAGCCATCCTTCACATTAGTATATAAATAATAAAAATTATTTGTGGTACACTATCATTTTAACAACCCATCTGAGGGCTGGAAATGTGGCTTAGTGGAAGAGCACTTGACTAGATGTACAAGGCCCTAGGTTCAATCTCCAGCACAGGGAAGGGGGGGAAAAAAATTTTTTTTTTAATGTTAAGGCTCAAAAGATGTATCTTTACACAAAATTTTTGGCTTCAATTCTGAAAATTTTTTCTCAATAAACTCATTTTAAACAATAAATAAATAAGTGAATATTTTCTATAACATGGAAGCATATGTTCTCTTAAATTTTTATTTTACAGTACAGATTTAAAAATTATAGGAAGCCATTATTTTGGACTGAGCTCCTGCACTAGACCTTAACACACCATACTAAAATTTAAAATAGAGTCACTCATAATAAAGTTCTAAGATATCAAACTGATACCAAAATCGTTACCTGACATTCTTAAAAACCAGGAAAATGAGAGACAGCAGTCAAGTTTCCTAAATACACTAATTTCAAATAACATGATAATAAAGATCCTTCTGCTTTAATCCTTACAAAAAAGTAACCTGATTGTTAACCAGTTATTTCTCTATTATTCTGTTTCCCTCTTCCTGATTTATGAGGAAAGAAATTTTTTTCCAGTACTGAGGACTGAAGCCAGGGTCTCACACATGCTAAGCAAGCACTGTACTACTGAGCTACATCCCCAGCTCTTTTCATTTTATTTTGAGACACCATCTGGCTAAATTGTCCAGGCTGGCCTGAAATTTGTGATCCTCCTGCTCAGCCTCTAGAGCAGCTGAGATTACATGTGTGGGCCACCATGCTCAGCTACAGGAGAGTAACTTTGAAAAACTCAACCTGCTTTTTGTTTTTTGTTTCTACTTTTTCCATCCTTTCTTTCTTTATAAAACCAACCTCCTCTGTTTTGCTCATTGGAACATTGATTCTATTTTATAGAATGAAGTATTGCCTGATTCTAGAATCCCAAATAAAGCCAATTTAGATCTTTACTAAATTGGTTATAATTTTGTCTTGCTAGGCAAGTGCTCCACCACTGAACTCTATCATATCCCTAGCCCCTTTTTTTATTTTGAGACAAAGTCTTGCTAAGTTGTCTAGACTGGCCACAGACTTGTGATCCTCCTAAGTTAGCTGTGGTAATTCTGTCTTTAGACAACAGTTTATAACAATTATTTTAGGTGATTTCACAGCTACTCAAATATGCAAGCAGAA